TTCAAGAAGATCTAAATAAATGGAAAGATATTTCATGTTTTGGGATTGAAAGACTTAATATTGTTAAGGTGGCAATATTCCCCAAACTGATCTGCAGATTCAGGTAATCCCTATCAAAATCCAAATGGCCCTTTTGCAGAAATGGACAAGCTGATTTGAAAATTTGTATGAAAGCCCAAGGTACCCAGAATTGCCAAACAATCTTGAAAAAGAACCGCAAAGTTGGGACTCACAACTTTCTGTTTTCAAAACTTACCACAAAGCAACAGTAATCCAGACAGTGTGGCACCGGCATAAGATAGACATAAAGGTCAAGGGAATAGAATTAAGAGTCCAGAAATAGACCTATTTATCCACGATCGATTGAGCGTTTTGGGTGCCAAGACGATTCATTGGGGGAAGGATGGTCTCTTCAACAAATGGTAGTTAGAAAGCCACATGCAAAAGAGTGAAATTGGACCTTTACCTCATACCACATACAAAAATTAACTCAAAATGTATCAAGATCTAAATGTAAGATCCAAAGATACGAAGAAAATGTAAAGGTAAATTTTTGTGACCTTGGATTTGGCAATGGATTCTTAGATATGACCCCCAAAGCACAAGCAACAGAAGAAAAACATGGATAAATTGGACTTCATCAAAATTAAGAAATTTTGTGCATCAAAAGATACTATCAAGAGAGTGAAAAAAGCCCACAGGATGTTTGAAAATATTTGCAAATCGTATATCTAGACTCTATAAAAAACTCTCATAATTCAATAATAAAAGACAAATAATCCAATTAAATATGGGCAAAGAGTCTGAATAGACACTTCTCTGAAGAAGAGCTACAAATAGTCAATAAGAATATGAAAAGATACTCAACATCATTAGCCATCAAGGTAACGTAAATCAAAATCACAATGAGATGCCACTTCACACTTACTAGGATGGCCATAATAAAAACAATGGAAAGTGACAAGTTTTGATGAGGAAGTGAAGAAATTGGAACCCTCATACACTGTTGGTGGGAATGTTAAATGGAGCAACCACTTTTGAAACAGTCTGGCAGTTCCTTAAAAAGTTAAGCATAGAGACACCAATTTCGCTCCTAGGTATATACCCAAGAGAAATGAAAACATATGTGCATGAAAAAATGTGTACATAGATGTTCATAGCATCATTATTTGGAAAAGCACAAAGTTGGAAACAACTCAAATCTCCATTAACTAATGGATGTATAAGTAAAATGTGGCATATGCATTCAATGGAATATTATTCTGCTATAAAAATGAATGAAGTACTGATACATGCTATAACACAGATGAAGCTTAAAATCTTGAGGCTAAGTGAAAGAAGCCAGTCACAAAAGATCACATATTGTATGACTCTACTTGTATGAAACGTCCAGAACAGACAAATATGAAGCAACAGAAAGTATTTTAGTGGTTGCTTGGCTCTCGGGGGCATAAGAGCATAGGGCAGTGATAGCTAAAGGGTACAAAGATTTCTTTTAAAGTGATGAAACATTCTAAAGTTGATCATGGTGTTGGTTGGATATACAAAGAGCCAATGAATTATACTCTTCAAATGGACAAATTCTATGGTATATGACTTAGTAGCACAGTTTTATACATTAAATGGTTAATAAATACATAAACTGCAATAAGTATGCCATTTTACCCTGAACAAAACCTCAAGGTTCTTGTGGAAATGGTTGTTGGAAAGGTTGCATCTTATAAGACATTGTGAAGTGGTGGAAGCGAGCTTATCTGAAATTGGGGTGGGATGGAAAGTTGTTATACCAAATGTGGATAGGTATGGTTCATAACACACATGTGATGAAATGACGGAGCTGGTAGGTGTTGGAGGTGGATGCTTTTGTGCCTTTTGTGCACTTCTACATCTGAATCAGCTGCGAATGACTACAGTTTTATGCATTCACTAGTGTTTCCTGCAAATGAAATCACCAGGAGCAAATGCAAAATTCATGTTATGCTGAAATTGTTCCCTAATATATTGTGTTGGATAAAATCCAAATATTCAAAACAAGCATTACAGCACAACTGATTATAGCTGTTTCCTGATATTTAAAATGTCTCTGGTAAACACCATATAGTTGAATCAAAAGAAAAAAAAAAACCCAAACAAGTAGACTGACAATCTTTGACTTTAGTCCATTTACACTTAATGTAATTACAGTCAACCCTCTGTATCCACAAGTTTGGAATTCCTGGATGCAATCAACTGCTGATTGAAAGGCCTATGAAGGTTGCATCTGTACTGAACATGTACAGACTTTTTCTTGTCATTATTACTCAAACAATAGAGTATAACAACAATTTACATAGCATTTACATTGTATTAGGTATTACAAGTAACTGAGAGATGATTTAAAGTATACAAGAAGATGTGAATAGTTTATACACAAATACTACCTGAGCATCCTTGGATTTTGGTATCTTTGGGGGTGGGGGTGGGGTGATGGAACCAACCCCTTGAGGGAGGATAGTACTAAGATATTTTGGTTTATGTCTACCATCTTGCTATTTGTTTTCTATTTGTCCCATCTTTTTGTTGTTAATTTATTTCTTCTTTCTTACTTCCTATGGATCCATCAAGTGGTTTTTTAAAATAGACTTCTATTTTTTAGAATAGCTTTAGGTTCACAGCATAATTGAACAGAAGGTACAGAGATTTCCCATATAACCCCTATTTCCACACATGCACAGCCTCCCCCATTGTCAACATCACCTACCAGACTGGTACATTTGTTACAACTGATGAACATACATCGACACATTACTATCACCCAAAGTCCATAGTTTACATTGGGGTTCACTCTTGGTGTTGTACATTTTATGGGTTTATACAAATGTATATATTCACCATTACAGAGTAGTTTCATGCCCTAAAAATTCTCTCCTCTGCCTATTCATCCCTCCCTATCCTCTAACCACTGGCAACTACTGATCTTTTTACTGTCTCCATTGTTTTGCCTTTTCCAGAATGTCATATAGTTGGAATCATACAGTATGTAACCTTTTCAGATTGACTTTTTTCACTTAGTAATATGCATTTGAGGTTCCTTCATGTCTTTTCATGGCTTGGTAGCTCATTTCTTTTTAGCGCTGAATAATATTCTGTTGTCCAGATGGATCACAGTTTATTTATACATTCACCTGCTCGAGGACATCTTGGTTGCTTCCAAGTTTTGGCAAGTATGAAGAAAGCTGCTATAAACATCCATGTGCAGGCTTTTGTGTGGACATAAGTTTTCAACTCCTTGCTGGACTGTATGGTAAGTGTATGTTTAGTCTGTAAGAAACCCATCAAACTGTTTTCCAAGTGTACCATTTTGTATTCCCGCCAGCGATGAATGAAATCTCCTGTTGCTCCACATCCTCACCAGCACCTGATGTCAGTGTTCTGGATTTTGGCCATTCTAATTGCTATGTAGTGGTATCTCATTGTTGTTTTAAGCATTTCTCTGATGACATATGATACTGAACATCTTTTCATATGCTTGCTTGCTATCCATATATCTTACTTGGTGAGGCGTCAAAGTCTTTGGCTCATTTTCTAATTGGGTTGTTTGTTTTCTTATTGTTGAGTTTTAAGAGTTCTTTGTAAATTTTGGTAACAGATCTTTATCAGGGTGTCTTTTGCAAAGATTTTCTCCCAGTCTGTGACTTGTTTGATTGTTCTCTTGACATTGTCTTTCACAGAGCAGAAGTTTCTAATTTTAATGAAGTCAGATGATTTCTTTTACGGATCCTCTCTTTGGTGTTGTATCTAAAAAGTCATTGCCATACCCCAGTCATCTAGGTTTCCTCCTATGTTAGGAGTTTTGCATTTTACTTTTAGGTCTATAATCGATTTTGAGTTAATTTTTGTGAAGAGTGTATGGTCTGTCTGGATTTATTTTTTAACATACAATGTCCGATTATTTCAGCACTATTTGTTAAAAAGACTATCTTTTTTGCGTTTGATCCTTTGTCAAAGATCTGTTGACTATATTTATGACGCCTATTTCTGGGCTCTCTATTCTGTTCTAGTGATCTACTTGTCTATTCTTGTTGCCAGTCCCACACTGTCTGGATTGCTGTAGCTTCGTGGGAAGTCTTGAAGTCAGGGAGTGTCAGACCTCTGATTCTCTTCTTCTTCTTCCGTATTGAGTTGGCTATTCTGCGTGTTTTGCCTCTGCATTTAAACTTTAGAATCAGTTTGTCCATATCCACAGAATCAGGTGCTGGAGGTTTGATTTGGATTGCATTGAGGCTATAGCTCAAGGTGGGTTAAGTGTTTTTCACTACTATATTTTTTATCTCCTATTAATGTGGTAGATTGCAGAGATGGCCACCATCCCTTACTTGTCCCTGTGTCCACGCACTTTTACAATGTGACTTTGCAGCTTCTCCCATGAAGAGCTGATATTGATTTCTTCCTTCCTTGGTGTCTTGTCTTCCTTTAGCCAAGAGAATTTGGGAGAAGTGACAGTGTGAAGACCTTATTCCTTTGCACTCTGAGAATCTGCCACCACACACGTACATGCCCAGAGTGGCCTGCTGGAGGACAGGAAGCAGAGGGGTCACTGGCAAGTAATGACTCTGCTGTGACTTGCAGATGAATGAATTCTAAATGTTTAATGCACAGAACAGAGAAAACAGGCCGAAAACTGGAGGGCTTTTGATTTGCAAGTGCTAGAAAAAAGATTTTGGCTTGGCCAGAAAAGGCGGAGTGTGGACTCAGACCACACAGTTTGTAAAATGAAGTCACAAAATAGGGCTGTAGGTATGGTCTAAGAGGCATTTCTCCCAGGAAGACATGTGTGTCATAGTTCAACAAGAAGAAGGGTAGGGACCTGAGTAGGAGTCTGATGAGGGTGGGTCCTCAGAGGGACCCAGTGTTCCTAGTACATGGGCCTTGGCCCAGAAGGGGGTCTTGAGATGATGGCTGGGGCATATCTCAGGGCATGGAGGCAGTGCTCTGTTTGCTTGGGATTACCCAGGAATAACATGGGCAGTACAGAGAAGCCCATGTCCAGCATCGTGCTGGAGCCCTCTGGCCTGTGGACAGTAGACAAGTGAGGGCTGAGGGAGATGCCCACAATGACAGGCCCAAGGCAGCCTCCCAGAGAGGAGCCCACACAGTGCAGGCCAGGGAGGCTGAAGAGAGGAACCATTCCCATGACAACAATGCAGGTGTGGCTTGGAGGCACCATGATCACAATAGGATGTCACAGTAGGGCCGTGGCACCAGGCAGCCCAGCCACACACCAGCGGTCCAAGACAGAGGAGACCCCAATCTTGCTGCTGAGGGTGGAGTGGACTTCAGGGAGCCTCTGTGACATCCAAACTTAGATCAGCCTCAGGGAGGAGAAGGACACAGAGCGGAGGAAACCTTGACAGACAGAGCGTTTACCAAAAGGAACCTGAGTCAGCCTGAGAGGATCTGAGGTTCAGTCTAGAAATGGCTGAACAAACATCCAGGCACAAGTTGCGTGTTTACCCCATCTATGGAAATGGAGGTGGTGCCTGAGAATAATTTCATTCAATTATGGATAAAGAAACATACATTTCTGTGCCTCTGAGTTATAACGTGTGTATGTCAAAACCTCCACATTTGTGTGTGAGATGGAAGCCCCACGAAACGATTTGGTTAAATAAATCAATATAGTTACTCATCGTGGGACACAAGACAGCTATTGAAAAGAGGAGCCTGCTTCGTATGTGCTGATGAGCAGAGACACCTACGACATCTCATCAAGGGGAAAAAAGCAAGCGACAGAGCAAAACACACAGTGTGATCCCCTTTAAGTGAGATAAAGGAGAGCAGGTGGGTGGGAAGGCTGAGCAGGCCTGGGCCCTTGGAGTGGAGGAGGAGCAAGCCTCCTTGCGCTGGAGCCCCTCGTACACACCAGCAGCCCCGCCCCATCCTCATGGGCCGCCCCACCTGTTAGTCCTCATTCCTTCCCTGCACAGGGCATGCCCACGACTTCATTTCCCTCCAGGTTGTCCTACATGGGGACAGTACCTCATCCTCAAAGACCTAACGGGCTTGTGGGAACAGGATTTGATTCCTTCTGTCTGTCTCTGAACGACTGATTTAGGGGACAATCGAATTTTCAAGTGGTTCAATTTTGTTTCTGAAGACCTTGCATAATTGAAAACAAACACTTAGCACGACTGATTTTTCCCTTAGCCCTGGGTGTGTGTGCGTGCGTCTCCTTGGTTTAAGGCTGTCTTCCCTCTTCTCCAGTTGTCTCTTCTACTTCACAGACTGTCTGGGACCGAGTCATGGCATAACCCTGGCAGAGTTTGTCTGCTTCGTAACATTTTGCCACATGTAATTTCAAACAGTGATTCTTGTTTGTGGCTCCCAGCTCTGGCACTAATGCTGCCACCTAATGCCAAGCTCACACTGTGATAAGAATTTTAAGACAGCAGAGTCACAGAGGCCGCTTGCAGAAGGCCGGATGCAGGGGTACAGCAGCCTGGGTTTCAAGATCCTACACAGCCATGGCAACAATTTGGTCACTGCCTAAAGGTCGCCACCGTGTGGCCATATTGCGCCACGCGGCCACGAGCTCAACACATCTTTAAAAATCACTGCCCCTCTTACCTTTTTAATTTAGAGGGATTCACATTATCTTCAAAAACAGTGTGTCAAGGTGAGGCTTTATGAATGACTTTTAGCATGCAATTTCAAATTCATATAATTTATACCTATAGAAAACAAGAGTGTACCAGGAGACGCTTGAGCTGAACTACTTTGAAGAAGAGCTGCGTAGACAATATGAGTCAAGAGGGTCCATCTTTCCTCTTTCCACCTGTGCTGGAATGCTTGTGCCCAGAGAAGAAAACCCCTCTTTAAAGCCGGTGACAGATCCGGTAGTGGTTGCCCTATTTACCTGGCACTGACTATGGTCAGCCTCCATGTTAAGCATTCCACGCGTTTACTTATTTACTTCTTCATTCACCGGTTATTTCTTGCCCTCCTACCATGTGGCGGGCACTCAGGATATAGGGGTGAATGAGCAGGAGCTCCGTGCTCCTCTATAGAATCTACTGGCCTCACCACAAGCCTGTGAGGTATGTACTATGCCAATCTTCGCTTTTCTATTGGGGAACTGAGTCACGGCGCAGTGAACTGACTTGCCCATGGCATTACTCCATCAGTGGTTTGAGATGCCTCTGCCCTCCACGGTTCCCAGCAGAGGCATCTCTTAGGGATGGATCACGCAGTCAGGCAGGGCCACAGATGTGAGGAGCGCTGCCTAGCACACCAGAAGATCTCCACAGACCTCTGTCACTTGTGGATTTCCCACTTGCTCGCTCACTCAGCAGAGACACATGGGTCCTGTGGACGGAGCTCTTGGAGGCACACGTATGAACAACCCTTCAGGGCTCCGAGTGGGAACCTGAAGTTGGAAGGGCCCTGAGAGATGATCCAGCTCGCTGTCTGGCCTAGCACAGCACCCTCTGCAGAGGCCTCTGCAGGGGCCTTGGCCTGGGCTTGTATACTTTCAGTGACAGGGGGCTCAGCCCTTGTAAAGCAGCTGGTAAAACAAGTCTCTCTCTCTCTCTCTCTTTTTTTTTTTTTTGAGGAAGACTGGCCCTGAGCTAACATCCATGCCTATCTTCCTCTGCTTTATATGTGAGATGCCTGCCACAGCATGGCTTTCCAAGTGGTGGTGCCTAGGTCCAGGCCTGGGATTGGGGCTTCTGAACCGGGTTGCCCACCTGGAGCACAGGAAATTAACTGCTACAACACCAGGCCCGCCCGCAAGTTTCCCTTTATATTTGAAGAAAAACAGAAGTGCCATAAAGAAGTGAATCTTCATTTTCAATTAGTATTTTACCCACTCATAAAATTAAGTAAGACTTAAGTATTTCTTTGCCAAAAATGCTGACTACTTCACACACACACATTGAGCAGCCCTCCAGACCCTTGAGCGACGGAGCTCGGTCATTTATGCCACGTGGTAAGGCTGGTCTGAGATGGTCTGTTTCCGGGCTCTCAGCTCTGGTCGATTTATCTACCTCTGCACAGGACCAAACTGTCCTAATTATCACAACTTCAGAACGAATCCCGAGATTTTGTATAACAGATCACGTCTCTTTATTTTCTCTTTTGGAAGCATCTTAGTGATCCCAATAGTGAGTCCATAAATTTTGTGTGTGTGTTTTAATGTAAGTTGATTCATTATTTGTGTGAGGCTAGGCCAACAGGTGATGAGAAGACTGTCATTGAGAAGATCCCAGGAGGAGGGAACAGCCTGCCACACCGTGGGGGCCACACAAGGAAGCACAGGGGGCAGGCCGGAGACAGCAAGAGCCTTTATTGTGGTTTCTGCAGGAGGAAACAGGGCGAGGCAGGGCAAGCAGGCTTAGGAATAATTTGAATAACTTCAGGGGACTCTGGGGTGTAGGAGCTGCCCCTAGGTGTCTGGTACCCGGCCCTGGGGTGATTAGGGCAAGTGGCCTGAACGCGAGAGCCCCATAGAAGAGGTGGTTGGGGGTGCGGTCTGGATTGGGTGCTTTGCATTTGAAAATCACGCTCCCTAGTGAGTGGTTCACTCTCTGGGAATCGGTGAACCCTGGGAGGGGCAGTCCCTCCAGGGTCAGCAGGCTCCAGATGTTAAAGCATCAGAATCCAGGAAACGAAAGAAATGTTAGTACTGTATCCATTTTAAAATGTATTTAAAAATTTACCTATAATAAAATCTGTGATACACAGCTTTATAAATCTTGCCAAATGCATAGACGGGTGTATCAACTACCATACTCATGATACACGAGAATTCCATCACTCCCCACATTCCTTCTTGTTGCCCCCAGCCTCAAGCCCTGGCAAGCACTAGTCTAGTTGGCGTTTTCAGAATATCGTATAAATGCAGTCATGCAGCAGGTAGGCAGTCTTTTGGGTGTGGCTGCTTTCACTTAGCGTAATGCTTTTGACACTCATCTAAGTTGTGTGTATCAGTAACTAATTCCTTTTTTACTGAGGTAGAATTCACATGACCAAAGTCACTATTCTAGTGTGCTGTTCAGTGGGATTTAGTACCTTATAATGCTGTGCAGCCCTCGCCTCTGTCCGGTTCCATACCATTTTCATCTCCTTCAAAGGAGATGCAGTACTTATTAAGCAGTCATCCCCCACTCCCCGCTCCTCATCCCCCCGCAAACACAAATCTGCTTTTGGTCTCTGTGATTTGCCTATACTAGATACTCAGATAGGTAAAACCACACAATGTGTGTCCTTTTGTGTCTGGCTTCTTTCACTGAGCATGTTTTTGAGGTTCATCATGTTGTAGGCTGTGTCCTGCTTCGTTCCTTTTTGCGACTGAATGATATTCCATTGTATTATTGCTTACCCACTCATTTGTTGATGGAGATTTAGGATGTGTCCACCTTTTGGCTATTGTGAATAGTGCTGCTATGAAGACGTGTTCATGTACGTGTTTGAGTACCTGTTTTCAGTTTTTTGGGGTACATACCTAGCAGTGGAATTGCTGAGTCATGTGGTAGTTGTAGCTTAATTTGTTGAGGAACCGTCAAACTGTTTCCATAGCAGCTGCGTTATTTTACATTCCCACCAACAATGTATGAGGACTCCAGTTTCTCCACATCTTGGCCAACACTTGTCATTTTTTTCTTTTCTGGATTATGGCCATCCTTGTGGGTGCGAAGTGGTAACTCATTGTGGTTTTGATTTGCATTTCCCAAATGACCAGTCACATTGAACATCTTTTCATGTGCTTGTTGGTCATTTGTATATCTTCTTTGGAAAAATGTGTATTCAAATCCCTTGCCCAGTTTTTAATTGGATAGTTTGTCTTTTTGTTATTGACTTGTAGGAGTTCTGTATATATTCTGGATACTAGAACTTTATTGGATATATGATTTGCAAATATTTTCTCCCATTCTGTGGGCTGTCCTTCCACTCTTTCAATAGTGTACTTTGAAGCACAAATTTTTTTTCTTTTTTAAAAATATTTTTTGAATGTATATTGATTTTTTTTTTTGGTGTGAGGAAGATTGGCCCTGAGCTAACTTCTGTGCCAATCTTTCTCTATTTTAT